TAAAATTAAGGTACACATTTCCAAAACCAACTCCATATCTCGATTTCCAATACCAATAAAGACCTAAATATCAAATTTGAGGATTCCAATCCAAACCTTCCACCAAATGCCCAATTTAGTACCATTTAGTACTTTTCGTACAAATATAGGACACATTTTCCAACGACTGCCAAATCTCAAATACAGATACTGTCGGTAGTCTAAATATTAAATTTCAGAATTTTATTTCATTCCTTCACAGAAAACCAAATTTAGTAATATTTAGCACTTTTCGTACAATTATAGTACACATTTCCAAAAACATCTCCATATCTCAATTCCAGATACCAACAGAGAGTTCAATATTAAATTTGAGGATTCCAGGCCAATCCTTTGACCAATAACAAATTTAGTACCATTTAGTAATTTTTGTACAATTATAGTACATATTTCCAAAACCAATATATAAATTTCTGATATTAAGAGAGACCTCAATATCAAATCTAAGGATTCCAGCCCTATTCCTTCAGCCAATAGCAAATTGAGTACCATATGGCACTTTTCGTAAAAATACAGGACACACTTCCAAACCACTGCCAATTCTCAAACACAAACAGAATTGTATCTCTATCCCTTCACCCAAGAACAAATTTAATACCATTTAGTACTTTTCTCACCATTATAGTACCATTGCACAATTGACCCACCTCCAATTTTTCTGTTCAAAATCTATTTCAACGTCTCTGTATTGAAACACTAGAAACCAACAGTGACCTCAATATCAAATTTCAGAATTCCAACTCTTCACCCAACACCAACTTTAGTATTATCTAGTACTTTTCGTATAATTATAGTACATGTTTCCAAAAATGCCTTTATATGTCCCATATACATATGAAGAGCGACGCTAAAACCTAATTCCAGATTTCAAGCACTATCTGTTCACCCACATTCCAGTCCAATCCCTTAACCTAATACCAAATTTAGTACCATTTAGTACTTTTTGACAACTATAGTACATATTTTCGAAACCATGTCCAGGCTAAACTTGAACGGCGACCCTAATATGAAATTTCAGATTTCAAGCACTGTCTGTTCACCCATTACCAAATTGTATAAAATATAGTACTATTTAGTACTTTTCGAACACTTGTGGGACACATTTCCAAAACCACCTCTTTATGACAAACCTTCCACCCACAGGGTCCCCAATACAAAATTTCAAAATGCCAGCTTCATCCGTTCACCCTAAATCAAACTGGTCCATTTAGTACATTTCGAACACCACCTTTATATATCAAACGTTCTTTCCAACCTAAATTCTCATCAGTTCACATAATACAAATTGTTACATCCCACAAAGTATATATATTCTTGATCGGCATAAAATTTTATGTGGATTAGGGATGTCCGGCCGTGTATCCGTCAGTGGAAATCAATCTAGCTTCCGAACGAATGGAAGTAGATTGATAAAATTTTACTCAAATGTATATAATGTCTGCAGGATTTTTGGTATTGAAAATGGTTCAAGTAGGTTCACGTTTTGGTATGGCTCCCATATAACGGTACCTCCCGATATTCGGTATTATTTTATTATTATTATTATTTTATCGACATTATTCATCGGAATTGTTTCAAATTTGGTATTTGAAGTTCGTAATGGCTACTACAGCCTAAGACAGAAAATTGACTGTGCAGGTCCACGTCTTCATAGAGCCCCTATATAACAGTACCTCCCCCTATATTCGGTATTTTGATGATTTTAGCGACATTATTCACCGGAATTGTTCCAAATTTGGTATTTGAAGTTCGTAGTGGATACTACAGCCTAAAGCAGAAAATTGTCAGTGTAGGTCCACGTCTTCGTATAGCCCCCATATAACAGTATCTATATTCGGTATTTTCATTATTTTAGCTACATTATTCATCAGAATTGTTTAAAATTTGGTATCTGAAGTTCGTAATGGATACTACAGTCTGAAACACAAAATTGTCTGTGCGGGTCCATGTCTTCGTAAGCCCCCATTTAACGGTATCTCCCCCTATATTCGGTATTTTGATTACTTTAGCGACATTATTCATCGGAATGGTTTCAAATTTGGTATTTGAAGTTCGTAATGGCTACCACAACCTAAGGCAGAAAATTGTCTGTGTAGGTCCACGTCTTCGTATAGCCGATATTCGGTATTTTAATGATTTTATGGACATTTTTTCACCAGAATTGTTTCAAATTTGGTATTTGAAGTTCGTAATGGATACTACAGCCTAAGACAAACAATTTTCTGTGCAGGTCCACGTCTTCGTAGAGCCTACATATATCAGTATCTCCCCCTATATTCGGTATTTTGATTATTTTAGCGACATTATTCACCGGAATTGTTTCAAATTTGATATTTGAAGTTCGAAGCGGATACTACAGCCTAAGACAACAAAATTTCTGTGTAGGTCCACCTCTTCGTAAAGCCCCCATATAACGGTACCTCCCGATATTCGGTATTTTAATGATTTTAGAGACATTGTTCACCGGTTTTTATACCCTCCACCATACTATGGAGGGTATATTAACATTGTCATTCCGTTTGTAACTCCTCGAAATACTCATATCAGACCCAACAAAGTATATATATTCTTGATCAGCGTGAAATTCTAAGTCGATTGAGCGATGTCCGTCTGTCTGTCTGTCTGTCCGTCTGTCTGTCCGTCTGTCTGTCTGTCTGTTGTAATCACGCTATCTTTCGAATGAATTGAGATAGGTGGCTAAAATTTTGCACACATGTTTATTTTTCCAGTAGGCAGGTTAAGTTCGTAAATGGGCCATGTAGGTCCACGTTTTCATATAGCCCCCATATAACGGTACCTCCCTATATTCGGTATTTTGATGATTTTAGTGACATTATTCACGGGAATTGTTTTAAATTTGGTATTTGAAGTTCAAAATGGATACTACACCCTAAGACGGAAAATTATCCGTGCAGGTCCACGTCTTCGTATAGCCCCCATATAACGGTACCTCCCTATATTCGGTATTTTGATGATTTTAGCGACATTATTCACCGGAATTGTTTTAAAATTGGTATTTGAAGTTCGTTATGGGAACTACAGTCTGTGACAGAAAATTGTCTGTGCGGGTCCAGGTCTTCGTATAGCTTCCATATAACGGTACCTCCCTATATTCGGTATTTTGATGATTTTAGCTACATTGTTCACCGTTTATTTCAAGTTTCGAATTTGAATATGGTAATGGCTTATGACCAACAATGCCTATGTATGTCCACGTCGTATAGACCCCAAAATAACGGCTATATTCGGTATTTTTAAAATTTTAACTGAATTTTTTAAGGATTTTATTTTTTGAAAATTTCCAAATTCGTTGCAAATGGTGGAGGGTATTAAAAGCTCGGCCCGGCCGAACTTACTGCTTTTTAACTTGTTTTTTTTTAAGTTTTGCATTTTAATATTGTAATGACTTAGGAGAAAAGTTGCCCATGCAGGTCCATGTCGTCGTATAGACGCTAATATAACAGCTACATTCGGTTTTTAAGGTTTTAACAGATTTTTTAAAGGATTTTATTGTTTTTGGGAATTGCCAAATTCGTTCCAAATGGTGGAGGGCATTTAATGTTGGGCCCGGCCGAACTTACAGCTTTTTTATTTGTTGTCCAATACAAGGGATTCCATTTTTGGCACATTTTAGTACTCTTCCTACTCTTTTAGTACGAAAAATTTCCAAAAACTTCAAAAAATTATAATACGCCTGACTCACACACCATGTCTGACCTTCGTGCAAAATTTCAAGATCCTAGCCTTAGCAGTTTCGTCTGGTCTTTGATTATCGGTCAGTTATTTCACTGCTCTTCACTACTGAGTGTTTTCGATTTTTTCAACTCTCCGCTTGAATTGTTATTTTCACCCAAAAAAATTCAGGATTTAAAGTAATTACAACAAAAGCAACCTAACCCAGTAATATATCTATTTGTTATGTAAATTGAAAATATGTATGTGTGTATGTATGTTTGTATGTATGGTGGGCAGACACTTAAGTCGAATACTGATTTCTTTGGCATGTGACTTGTACGCACTGAACAAAAATTTGAAATATGTTCGAGTTGACGCCAAATATCCTAACTCGAGACTCGAGCAAATCCTCGAGATAGCCTGGTATGATTACCAGTTTTGTTTGTGGCTGCTGTGTGTGTATGTGTGCAGCTTCTTGTTTGGTTTTTGTTTTTATTCCGGCTGTTGGGCTATTTTGAAAAATTGTTAACTGCGTAACTTTATCTCCTCCAATTATCTCTATTGTGGAATTTCTTGGCATTGCTGTTGCTGGGCCTTCTTTCGGTTACTCTTAGCCTTATTTATTTCTATACAAAATAGAACGCACACACACAAACATATTCTTATAATGTATGGATGTGTATGTATATATAGATATGCATATTGTAAGTGGGCAAGTAAGTTCGAATGTATTTTTTTGTGCTTCGTTGTAAACAACAATGGCACACAAAAAAAAATATCCTGAAGGTTATTTTAAAACAACACACAGCACAGAGACTAGCCCACATCGGGCATAATTGAGGCACAAGCACGCACACACACACACTCGCACGCACTGTAAATGCAGGGCAAAAAATCCACCATATAATTTTATGTTCCATCTCCATCTCAGAAGTCAACGAAATAGCCTACTGCCACATATAAGTCCTGGCGAAGGACAACTCATTTTCTTGCCAACGACAAGACTCAATGGCAGAAAACATCGAAAGATAAAAAATTATTTTGAAAAGACCTTAAAAATATAAGTAATAAGCCATTAATAAGAACAGCGAACAATTGTGTGTGATATGAGAAGTATTACATCCTATTAAAATAGTTGAGGTTTACATCACTTTTTTCCGAATTTTGGCCACTAAAATACACATACACAAGTTCTACTAGATTTCTATTTCAACATTAACCCATTAGTGTCACCAAACTTTTCCCATAGTCAAATCTGCTATTAGTTTGTTTCATGTCGTACTTACCTTATTGCTGCGCAGTGTCACTTTGCCACCGCACCGGGCACAGCATCGGGTATTGCAGTAGTGACAGATATGTCCAACACCATCAGCAAACTTAGTCTTCAGACAAATATGACACGTTGCCTCAAGTTCGATACCAGCTTTCTTTTGCTGTTCGGAACGCTGTCGGATTTGCATTTCCAGTGACATGACCTCATCTTGTTTTCGTCTAAAAATAGAAAAATAAAGAATGAAAATTTAAAAAAAAATTAAATTAAATAAATAAATAAAATTGTCAAATAAAATCTAAGGTTGCTGACCCAAAAAATTGCGGACAAAGCCAAGAAAAAATATTTTTTTAAAAATGTATGGCCATGAATTATGGCAGGTCCTAGAAAATAAAGCAAATAAATCATTTTTTTGAAATCATTGAAAATATACCAGAAACATGGTTATGGCGATGCCTTAAAAATATTAAATATAAAACCCATTAATTAAAAATTACTAAAAACAATAAAATACATAGAAAAAAGCCATTAAATTGTATTTATCGGAATTAAAATATATATAGGAATATATATTTTTAAAAGGTAAGAAAGCAACTAAGTTCTGTCGGGCCAAACTTGTAATATCCTCCACCATTAGGAAGGAACTTGAACTATTAAAAAAAATACGAAAAATACCGTTATACCACTATACGGGGTCTACACAAAGACGTGGACTTGCATAAGTAATTTTTTGCATAGCCTGTAATCATCAAAATGCCAAACACCGGGAGGCTGTAGTACCCATTACAAACATCGAATACGAAATTCGAAACAATTTGGGTGAATTAAGTCGCTAAAATCATCAAAATACCGAATATCGGGAAGTACCGTTATATAGGGGCTATACGAAGACGTGGACCTGTAAATTCTTAGGCATAGGCTGTAGTATCCATTACAAACTTCGAATACGAAATTTAAAAAAAAAAATTGGGTGAATAATGTAGCTTAAATCACATCGGGAGGTACCCTTTCATGGGGGCTATAGGAAAATGTGAACCTGCATACGAAATTTTTTTAGGCATAGACTGTTATACCCATTACAAACTTTGAATACGAAATTTGATACAATTCGGGTGAATAATGTCGCTAAAATCATCAAAATACCGAATTCGGGAGGTACCGTTATATGGAAGCTATACGAAAACGTGGACCGACATTGCCTTCTGGCAAAATACACATGTGTACAAAATTTTACCTATCTATCACAATTCGTTCAAAAGATAGCGTTATTACAACAGACGGACGGACAGACACGCAGACTTAATCGCTAAATCGTCAAAGAATGTTACGCTGATGCAGAATATATGCAAGGTGAGATAAAAAAAAAAACTACAATAATAGACTCTACAAAGTATATATGTTCTGGATCAGCGTAATATTCCGAATAGTTACAAACAGAATGACAAACCTAATATACCCTCCATAGAATGGTGGAGGGTACAAAAATTGATAGACATTGGGGTTCTTAGCATATTTTTTCATTGAGATTTTTAAAGGGGGAAAATAGGGTATTTTAAAATGGCCATAACTCCTTAAATATAGACTTTCGGGGATCTGAGCATATTTTTTCATTCAGACGTTTAAGGAGGAAAAATAGGGTATTTTAAAATGGCCAGAACTCCTTAAATATAGACTTTCGGGGATCTGAGCATATTTCTTCATTCAGACGTTTAAGGAGGAAAAATAGGGTATTTTAAAATGGCCAGAACTCCTTAAATATTGACATTTCATTGTGAAATTTGAAGTGAATTCGAAGAATATTTTGCTTTCTTTGGGCGTTTTGTTTGTTTATGGGGGAGGTACCAGAAGAAATGTTCCGATTTCTACCATCTTTATAACGGATCTTGTGTTGATGGAAATTTACCAAATCTTAATGGAATCGGATTTTCAAAATTTTGACCCGATATTATCCATTTGCGCACCTGATCTAGCACTGATGCAAACATTAGAATTTGCAATGTAGGTATATATTTTATTTATTTTTAATTTTGCCTTATTTTTGCCCAACCCGAAATTTGGCCTAAAAATAATATAAAACATATAACTGATATTTCGATGAGGCACGTTTTTATCGTATCAAATGAAATATACCCTCTGTAGCCATATGGTATGATAAAAAAAGTGAAAGGCTGTAGGCCCGGCCGAACTTTGAATACCCTCCACCAATTTGGAAAGAATTTGGCAATTTTCAAAAAAAAAAAAATCCGTTAAAAACTTTGTTAAAATCTTAAAAATACCGAATGTAGCCGTTATATTAGGATGTATACAACGACGTGGACCTGCATAAGCAACTTTTGCCATAAGCCATTACAATATTTAAATGCGAAACTTGAAACAAAAAATCGGTGAATGATGTAGCACTACATGAGGGCTATGCCAAAACGTGGACCTGCACAGACAATTTTCTGTTCGTGCATTACGAACTTCAAATACCAAATTTGAAACAGTTCCGGTGAATAATATCGCTAAAATCAAAAAAGTACCGAATATCGGGAGGTATCGTTATATGGGGGCTATACGAAGACGTAGACGTGCACAGATAATTTTCTTTCTTAGGCTGTAGTATCCACATTGAACTTCAAAACACCAAAATCGCTAAAATCACCAAAATACCGAGAATAGGGAGATACCATTGTATGGGGGCTATACCAAAACCTGGGCCAACATGGCACAATAATAAAAGTCCTGTAGACATAAAATACATTTGAGTAAAATTTAATAAACCTACTTCATTTCGTTCGGAAGCTAGAGCGGAAGGACATCGCTAAATCGACATAGAATTTTATGCTGGTCAAAAATACATATATTCTTTTTGGGCTCTAAAATGTATATTTGGAGATGTTACAAACGGCATGACAAACTTGATATATCCTCCATACTGTGGTGGAGGGTATAAAAAATGACTTATGCAGGTTCTCGTCTTAGTATATCCCCCATATAATGGTTTTCATTTGGCCGGTATTTTTCAACCATTTTTTTTAGATTTTGAAAATCCTACCAATGGTTGTGGATTTTTATTTCAGTTTTAATTCGAAATATTTCAATTTTAATTTGAAATATTTCTATTGAAAATCAAATTTATTAATTTGTAATTCGAATACTTAAAATGTTTTACACATCAATTTGAATTATTCCACTTGAAATTCGAAAAAAAAAACAAAATTCGAAAAGATTTTTGATTTTTTTTTTGCAATTTTCAAATTACAATTTAGAAATTTATAATTCGAGTTTCTAAAAGTAGAAATTTGAATCAAAAGTGGGATGAGTGACAAAAGTAACGAACTAAAATTGGAAATCTTTCAAAACTTGAATTTCAAATGGAATTTAATGAAATATTACGAATTTCAACTAAAATGTTTCGAATTCCCTCTACAAAATATGTAATGCCTAATTTTGCATAAAATATTGAAACTTGATTTACGATCTCCCCAATGACGTCATTGTCATTGTGCCAATATTTCTCTCGAATTATTTTATTGTTTAAATTTTACTCACCGCATAATTTCATTTTGCTGTTCCTCCTCCTGTTTCTGGCGCCTCAGAACGTTTTCGATTTGCATGCGTTCGTGAGGCGTGAGATGTGACAAATCTGGCATGTCATCCATTTTGGCGAATCGAAATGCTGCTGCTGGTCAATATGTCTTCAGGATTAATGTAATGTATGTGTTTTGTTGTTGTTGCTGTTGTTGTTATTTGTATTTGCTATTATTCCAAAATCTATAAATGGAATGTTGTTGTTGTTTTGGTATGCTTTAATTTATGATTTATTTTTTTCTTCTCTCTCTCTACACTTCTCAATAACTGATGATAATTTTTTTGTTTAACTATCAGCCAAATATTATTATTGTTCTGGTTGTTGTGGTTGTAGTTGTTAAGGACATTTTGTTGGACTCGGTTTCATATACATGTATGTGGTTATGTATGCGTGTGTGATGTAATTTGAGAAAAAAATTATATTTTATGGATTTCTTATTTTTGCAAATGGCAAATGGAGAGGGGGGTTGCTCTTTCCTTTTGGTTAATTACGTATATTTTTTGATGCTTTGGTTTTGTTGCATTATTCGGAATAACTAGAATTTATTTATTTTTTTAATAGTTGTTTTTGTTATATATTTTTCTGGTTGATTTTTTTTTTCGGTAAGGCTTAAAGCTTTTCTTGGAAAAATAAATATATGTTTATTTTTTGTTTTAATTATTTAACTAAAATGTTTCCTCCTTTAGTTACTTCGTTGATTAGTGGATTTAATTTTTGGGAATTTTTGTTTTTTTTATTTTGGTTTATAAAAAAAGAATATATTTTTGTTGTTGTTTTTTTTTTAGTGCGTTAGATTATTGGTTAGTTGTTGTTCTTGTTTTTTTATGAAATCGTATGTTCCTTTCTTTCCATATAACTTGGCTTATTTTTATATGTATATATATATTTTTTGTTTTGTGGTTTTTAATTTATTTAAATAATAATGGAAGAATTTATTTTGGTTTAGTATAATTTTTTTCTTTAATATTTTTAATATTAAATAAATAATATTTTTTTAATGTTGTATTTAAAGCTTTTAATTTTTGTTTAAATTTAAACTAGTTTTTTTTATTTATTTATTATTTTTTATTTTTGGTAATGTATAGTTTCTCCTTTTTTTGTTATTTATAAATCTGTATATAGTTATTAATTTTTTAATAGATTTTATTAAATTTTTTTTCAATTTGTTTTTTTTTTTTGTCCAATATATTGAGTTTTAGTTGTATTGTTATTATTTTTTAAATCCTTTTTTTTTTCTTGTATTATTATTATTTTCAATATGTTTAATTAAATTTTAATTCGAATTCAGTTTAATCACAGACTAAATTTATGGAATTTTTTTTATTCAGAGTTTTTTTTCTTTTTTATTTTATTAGAAAAATATTATTATTATTATTTTTATGGGTGTGTGTGTGTTTGTTTTGTGGCCTTTGTATTGTTTGATAATTTATTGTTATTAATTTTTAATTTTTTGTTTTAATTAAATTTGTTTTCGTTGAATTTGTTCGCTTGCCATTTCCATATTTACAGAACGCGCTGTGTGAATGAATGCTGTGGGATTCGAAATGAAGTTGTGGTTGCTGTTATGTTTGTTGCCTGAAGGATTTTATGATGTTTTTTTTTTCTGTTGTTTGTTTAACTCCTTTTGTTTAGTTATTGTATTTGAGTTTCGTTTAATATTTTTTTGTTGTTGTTGCTCATTGCAGTTTGCATTTGGGAAAAAAAAGTTGTATGTTTTTTTTTTGTATGCAAATGTTTATTTTAAAATATTAAATAATGTAGTTGCAGTTGCGGTAAATCTGAAAAGAGAAGAAGGAGGAAAAGTTAAATTAGTTATGTAGAATTCGATTCCTTGATTTTTTTTTTTTCGCAAAATTAAAAAAAAAAAAAAATTAAAAGCCCGCCAAAACTCCCACGCAAGAGCAATGAAAAACTTCTCGATCTAAAAAATTACTAAACAATACATTTAAAAACCCAAAACCACGATATGGTGCAATAAAATATTTTTAACTTTTTTTTTTTTTTGAAACACATTTCCAGATTATACCTGAATTTTTATAGTTATGGAAATACATTTATGAAATATATGGTCTATAAAAAACTTGTTTATACCCTCCACCATACACAGTGTGGAGGGTATATAAAGATCAACATTCCGTTTGTAACTCATCCAAATAATAACTTTAGAAATAACAAAGTATATATATTCTTGATCACCAAAAAAATAGCCCTGTCCGTTTGTCCTTCCGTTGTAATCACACTAGAGTAAAAACGAATAAAGATAGGCAGCTATAATTTTGCACAGATCAGTCTATTGTCTGTAGGCCAAGTTCGAAGATGGGCCATATCGTAAAGCCCATATATACCCCCTATGCAGGTCCACGTCTTTGTAGGCCCCAATTTAACTGTAACTCTCCACATTCCCATATTTCCAAACGATGGAGGGAAATAAAGAACATTTACATGCTGAATTGCAAAGAACATTTCAATTATCTGGTTCTTAAAAAATGATGAAAAGTCGATTTTTTTGGAAAATGCTTTAGCAGAACATACATAAAAAATATATTTTTTTAATGTTCTTGATCTGGGATATTCTCTTTGTTTTTTATGATGTAAATTATGATATTATTAGTTTTTACTTTAGTGGGGAGGTACAAGAGGTAATGATAAGAATATTACCACGTAACAATTGTTGATGACTCAAAATCTCCTGAAACAGATTTCGTCCTAAAAGACCTAAGGTATACAGTCGTTAATTTATTAGATACATTTTGGCTTAAAAATAAAAAATCCCTCCAGTTATTGGACTGTTTAAAAAAAACAAATTCTTCTGATTTTTAAGGTTGTAATTAATACATAATTTCCAATTTAAATGTCATATTTTGACACCAAGGGATGGAAGTGATATGCACCTTGTCTTCAAAGATGAGTTGTGGAATTGTTTCAGTTTTTTTTGTCAAAGGGTGTAAACAAACAAAACCGAGAAAAGCTTCCTGTGCTCTGTATTGCATTTTAGGTAACAATAAAAGACATTATATAGTAAGTTTCAAATTTATCATTCCGGAAATCGGTAGGTAGTCAAATTAGTTCTTTTTTTATACCCTCCACCTTGGAAAGGAGGGTATATTAACTTTGTAATTTCGTTTGTAACATTCTTAAATATTCGTCTTAGACCCCATAAAGTATATATATTCATAATCAGCATAAAATAAAGTTCATTTAACGATGTCCGTCTGTCTGTCTGTTGAAATCACGATACAGCCCACACTATTTGACGTAGAGCGCCAAAATTTAGCAGAGCTATTTGCATTGTGTCTAGGATGGTTGGTATTGAAAATGAGATATATCGGTCCACGTTCTGGTGTAGTCCCCATATAACGGTACCTCCCGATATTCGGTATTTTGTTGATTTATGCCACATTTTTCCACGGATTTGTCTGAAAATTGGTGTTTGTTGGTCATAATGGGTTCCAGCTCCGGTGGCGAAACATTGCATGTATGGGTCCATGATTCGGTATAGCCCCCATATAACGGTACCTCCCGATATTCGGTATTTTGATGGTTTTTGCCACATTTTTTCACTGATTTGTCTAAAAATTGGTATTTGTGGGTCATGATGGGTCCTAGTTCGTGTTGCGAAACATTGTAATTATAGGTCCACGTTTTAGTGTAGCCCCCATATAACGGTACCTCCCGATATTCGGCATTTTAATGGTTTTTGCCACATTTCTTCTAATGTTTCTTTTACCCTAAGGTGGAGGGTATTAAAAGTTTGGCCCGGCCGAACTTAATGTTTTTTTACTTGTTTGAAGCTTTATTTATAACGGAGGAAACGACCAAGCCATAACTCTCCACCAACTGAAAGGACCTAGAAGATTTTCAAAAAATTCCGAAAAATACCCCTTAAATGAAAAACGTTGTCCTGCATATGTAATTTTTTGTTATAGGCCGTAGTACCCATTAAGATATATAATTACGAAATAATGTCGCAAAAATAATTAAAATACAGAATATCGGTAGGTTCCGTTATATGGGGGCTATACGAATACGTGAACTACGAGAATCTGAGCTTTCACAAAATTCCGTGTAGATTGGTTAATAACTATGAGCTGTGAAGCAAATACTAAATAAGGAAATGATTCGGTTTTTAGTCCATTTCATTCAATAAATTTTGTAGGGAAATCTTCAAAAAGTATGGTTTTCTATTCAGACCACATAGTGATAACGAGCCTACAAAGCTAAATCGACTCAGCTTCTGAAGATGTGATTATCTATATACCATATTGTGAACCTAGTTCGATTTTGCGGATGAGTCGATCTAGTTATGTGTGTCCGTCCTTCCGTCAATGTTAATTTGTAATTACTCTACAGGTCATAATTATGGAACGATCCTCACGAAATTTAAAATGTAGATCTGGAATGACTAGGCTCAGAATATAAGCCTATTGTTTTGGGGATGATGGCATAATATTTTTAATATTTGGACCAAATACAGAAAAATTTCCTGATCTTACAGTTGCTCTACAGGTCGCAATTATAGACCAATCAAAGCGAAATTCAGCATGAGGCTAGAATTTAGGGCTTATTAGAAGCCTACATTAACGTTTTTGTAAAAAAAAAAAAATACTAAAATTTCCACTGGACCGCGAATATTTTTAATCCTGGCGAAATCCCAAATGTACGAAAATGTCACTTCTGACCGTTACATTGATGTCTATATCCAAAATATCGCATAAATAGCAAAATATATACAATATCATATATCAATGAAGGGGATGTTAGTTAGACCACTTATAAATCAAGAAGGGCTATACGGATTTTGATAATTCTCACAAATTCAGAATTGTCTTTTGCCACGTGAAAATGTGTTAATGAAAAAGTTATTATTTTTTCTTATTTTATATTTTTTGCCATAATTTTTATTGCATGAGATTTTTTTTCATTTATGACTTACAATTATTGTCCGATTCTCAAGAAATTTAGCATTGGGGATAGAGTTTGGGTCAGAATTAAAGGTGATAAAACAGACCAAAAAATGTAAAATGTTCCTGCTATGCAGATCCCAATTGAAAACCAATGAACACGAAACTTTGCATGAGGAGAGAGTTACGGACAGGGAAGAAGTCGAGCATTTTGGATGACCATTGGACTAAGCTAATTTCCAGAAAAAAACGCAGCTTTTGTATAAATATATATAAATGTATAATATAACTTCAGATTCAAGAAAGCTCTAAAATGTGCTCCATAGTTGAGACGCAAAATTAGCCCACTTTTTCGAAACGGTTTCAGAAAAAATTCATAAGAAATCCTTTAAAGTTGCACACTATAATTACCACATCTTAAGGCAACACTCTCTTTTCACACCATAAAAAAACGAACAACAACAAAAATAAAAAACAACAACTCATAAAGAAACTATCCACTTTGTCAGCTTTTCATACAAAAGTCCTTTTATACTCTGCTCAGCAGAGACAAAAAAAAGCGGATGCGTTTCATTTTTATTTGATGCATAATTAAACTGTTGTCTTTCGCGCTCTCGACCCCTCTCTCTCTCTTCCGCTCTCTTGAGGAAACACAAAAGACAAGAAAATTACACAAAATTCTTAAGAATCACAAGAAACTCGTGGAATCAAATAATTCATGTGGACAAAGAAGAGGACAAGGAGAAAAAAAGAATCAAAATTGATGGTGGTTCCCAATAACGAAGCAATAACAAAAAAAAAAAAAAGAAGCCAAATGACGAATAAGATCAGCTGCATCAGCTGAAGCTGATGGCTACAGTTGGCAAAAATGATGCCACTACCAGCCCGAAGATGTCAATCGATATTTATGATACCCAGGACAATACTCTGGTGGATTGCCATGGCACTGCTACTTTATGTTCGTCTTCTTCTTCTTCTTCCCCTTCTTCTTGGTGTGCTCACAGAGCTATCGAGTCTTCGGTCACGGAACAGCAGTCAACCCAGCCAGCCCATAATAAGCCAAACATGCAAAATTATGACCAAGCGATGCGAACTTAGAAACAAAATGCTGTGGCTAAAAAGAAAAAAAGCGGGTTAGTGGGTAGGAAATGGCTGGTTTGGGGTGCCGCACAAACTTAGAAATTTAAACTGTGGGTAA